CCCTGACAAAAATACCCTTCGGGAGGTTCTGCGGCCGCACAATTCCATGTGCGGTCCGCACTTTCCTTCTCTTCTTCAGTTGGAGTAATTTTGCAGCCGCACAATTCCATTTGCGATTGCACTTTAGCTTTTGCGGCCGTACTTTTCCATCTGCGGCTGTACTTTGGCAAGGCTTCACACTTGGTCGTCTTGCACATTCTCTAAACTTTTGAAATTTTGTCAGTGCGACCAACGTTTGCGGCCGCACAATTCAATGTGCGGACCGCGCTTCTTCAAAATCCTCTGAAGCTTCAGGAGCCTATTCTGCGGCCACACATGCATTTCTGCGGAACACACTTTCTTCTGCAGTCGTAGAATTACTTCTGCGGACTACACTTTGGCTTGCTTTGATCCTTCTTGCCTTTTTGAGATGGATTACTTCTTTTTGAGTTAGATTTCTTCGTTAATGTCCAATCCTCTAATATGCTTGCAATTTGCACAATTTCATTAGTTTTGGGAACAAGAATCAATACTTTCGAACTAAAATTAAAACAAGAAGGTACTGATAAGTGGTTAAAATCCACACTTATCACCCATGCCAACTCAGTCAAGCAAGTTCATCCTCTCAGCCGACTAAGAACAAGGCTAATTAGCATGTTTGGTTCTTTATGTGGTGCTAAGTTTGTTTTGATGTCTAGTGTAATTTTTGAACAATAGAACTGTAACCAAACTGTTAAGGTTGCTATGGGCAGCTATTATATGTTATGCTTAATGTTGCTGAAGACAAAGATCTAGTCTTTAATGTTGCTGAAGACAAAACAACTATTATGTGTTCTTTTGATGTACTTTCTTAAGTGTCTGATGGCATTTCCAGGTGGTAGTCTTTAATGAACACCTTTCTTTTTGAAATGGAAGCAATTTGTGATTATTCTTTATATAGTATTTTCTTGATGGCATTTATATAACTTTTATATGCCATGGACATCAGCAGTTTTATATAGCTTGATGATATAGATTGATCACCAGGTGATAGTCTTTAATAAACGATAATTTATATAACTTGATGACTTGTGCTTTTATATTGCAAATCTTACTTCCAAACAGAACGTGCTGATGGAAGACTTAGATTTTCTTTGTTGAGTGATGGTATTAACACTCATAACCCTGATAGTTATGAAGCTTTGAGTATGCTTAAATAATGGAAAAGAATCAAAAATAGCAACAAAAGACCAAGTCCAAGAGAAAATGAAAGAAAAGTTGAAGTTTGAGTTTGAAGATTTTGCGTAGCCTTGCGTAGGCTACGTAGAGGAAGAACCTGAGAAGTGAAACTTTTAAGGACATTCTATTTTTGCTTACGTAATAATTCTGGACAATGCTAGTATTAATTTAAGATTTTCCATTTATAAAAAAAAACTTGGTAGCAAGAAAAAATGGCCTTGATGCTATTATTTTATGATGCATTAGATTTTTGTTTATCGATTGAAAAAGAGAGCTTTTACTTACGAATTAAAAAATTTTAATTTTAATTTTACGGAAATGATTATTCATCTTGATGTAAGGTTGTTTAAGTGAGTTTTATAAAATACAATCGATTTCAAAGTCGAATAAAATACAACAATTAAAATAAAATGACACAAAGGTAAAAAAAAATTATAATAAATAATTTAAATGTTGAATTTAGATAATATGCAATTAACTACAATTGATGTCTGGTCGATAATATAATTGATGATTTTTCTTCTCTTAACTTAAAATAGACTAGATAAGGAGAAAAAAAATAAATTACCCGCATACCAAATCGGAAAAAGTTTACTTGTATTCGTCTAATTCGAATAAATCTCGTGATTATCAAGGTGTTAATTTGGATGGATAAACTCATCCATCCTTAATTAGATATTTTGGATTTCAAAGGTGTTAGATTCGAATCCTAAATTTTTTTGATACGAAACGCTTATTATCACAACCCAAAATCCACTAAAAATTGTGATGACGCCTAACACCACCGTCAGGCAAATCAACAGTGATTGATCACTTAATTACTCATTTTAGTATTTTGAAATCATAATTTTTCATAAATTAAATAGTATGAAATAGAATTTACAGGGTGGATAATAATATTTACGCGAACCACAATAATGAACAATCCGTAAGAACCCCCAAACTCCGATGTCACAAGTGCATGAGCATCAACTAAGAAATATAATAAAATATAACATCTATCTAGAATACAAATTAGACAGGAGAATATAAATAACTTTGATGGAGACTCTGCAGGTTGCGGATCGTAACATGAAATGCAGCTCACGGTAAAGTCCCCGCAATAGCCGTGCCTCTGCACCCAAAAGACCACCAAACATATAAGTACATGCACAAAAGTGCAGCAAGTGTATCATGAGTATATAAATCAACGCGTACCCAGTAAGTATCTAGCCTAACCCCAGAGAAGTAATGACGAGGGGTCAACATCAACACTTATTAGTGGTCCAATAAGACAGATACAGAAGGAGTAAACAGATGTGAATCAGAGGAAATAAACGAAATAACAAGTATAAATATGCGGTACAATCCTACTCTCAGCAAAAACTCAAACTCTCAGCTATGAGTTACCTCCTCGATCGGAGTATATATAATGGACCTTACCAGATAGGTCGTCACAGTTTAATTAGGAAAAGTTCACAGATATACTGGCTTCTTGCCAATTATTACGCATGATTTCATAAGAGTATTTTATAGAAATATCGGGGCGTACAGACCAATCCATCATAATATTTTCGAACCATAGATATATCTATTTTATTTTCGAGGCAAACGGCCCGCTCCCATGATAGTGTGGCACATAATCCTGTCGAGGCGTACAGCCCGATCCATCATAGTGTGAGCACTGTCAAGGGTCGAACGACACAAACCATAGATGTATCTATCCTGCCGAGGCAAATGGCCCGATCACATTAGAATAAGAAGCTTTGACGGGTCCTCGACCCCACTCACGAATAGTCGTGTGAGTTATAGATTTTTAAGAGAATATTTTGGTGAGAACGCATAACACGGGAGAATTTTATAAGGAGAGTACAATTAAATCTGCGGCTTATCATAAAACCCGTCAAATCTCTACAATAGCAAGTCTATCACTCTACGCAAGTCTAGTCTCAAATCGTAATATAAAATAAAGGAATGTATTTGGCAAGGGACAAAATAGTACAGTTATAGCATGGCGGGAACCTAAGTCTACCTGGACATAACATGAATCTAGCTACGTACAGACTCTCGTCACCTCGCACGTTCGTAGCCCCCGCAACAAGTAGCACATTATAATACAATACCTAGGGATAGTTTCCCACTCACAGAGTTATACAGGAGACTTACCTCGCTCCGTAGTTCCATAACTGACTCTAAGACCTCTCTAGCGCCTCAAACCAATACTCGTTGATCCAAAACTATTCAAACAACGTGCAAACCAGTCAAAAATATATTCTAATACCTATAATTAATCAATTTAAATAATTCTCAACTCCGCTCGAAAAGTCGATGAAGACAACCCTCGGGCCCACGTGCCCGGATCTCGAAAATTTTTGAACATAAACATTACCCATAACATTACGAACTCAAATATATAATTTATTCTCAATTCCATGTCCAATTTTCGTGGTCCAAACCCAATAATACCAAATTCTAGGTTGTCTACCAAAAACCCACAATTTCCACTAATTTTCATATTTAAATCCCTATACAAATCATATATTTAACTTGTAATAGGTGGGAATCACTTACCTTGTGTTACTTGAAGAAAATCTCCCCTTGAAGCTCTCCAAAATCGCCCAAACCAAGTGAGAAAATGAGGGAAATGAGCAAAACCCCAATTTAAAAACAATCTACCCAGCCGACTTTCCGCACTTGCGGACACACCAGCCACACCTGTGGAAAATCCTTTGCAGGTGCGGTTCCCTCCAAGCCAGGCGAAATCCGCTTCTGCGAACCACTTTTCGCTTCCGCGCGACCGCTTCTGCGGTCCACCACACGCTCTTGCGCTTCCGCACGTGCGGGGATCTTCCGCTTCTGTGACCCGAGCTGCCCATCTCGTTTTCCGCTTCCGCGGAGCTCCCTTCGTATCTGCGGGCTCGCAGATGCGAAAATACCCTCGCATCTGCGGCCATCCCAGTTTAGTCCAAATGTCGCTTCTGCGGCCCTTTCCACACAGGTGCGATTGCACTAGATCCCAGTTGCCTTAGCGCTTCTCCCAAGTCCAAACTCGATATATTTACCATCCGGAATCCACCCGAGACCCTTGGGACCTTAACCAAATATACCAACACCTCCTAAAGTACAATACGAACTTAGTCGAACCCTTAAACCACGTCAAGCAACATCAAAATCATGAATCGCGCCTTGAATCAAACTTATAAATTTTCAAATTCTTTATCCTCTGCCGAAATGTATCAAATCAATCCGAAATGACTTCAAATTTCGCAATGAGTCACAAATGACCTAATGAAGCTATTCCAAGGCTCGGAACCCCGAACGAACATTGATAACATCAAAATCCACTTCAAACCAAATTTATGAAATTCTTAAACCTTTAAAATGCCAACCTTCTATAATAAGCGTCGCCCAAATCCGAAATTATCATACGAACCTATTGGAACCTTCAAATCCCGATTCTTAGGTTGTTTACTCAAAAGTCAAATTTTAGCCATTTCTTCTAACTTAAAGCTTCCGAAATTAGAATTTTCTTTCCAAATCAATCCCGAACTTCCCGAAATGAAATTCCGACCACACGTACAAGTCATAATACCTGAAGTGAAGCTACTCAAGGCCTCAAACCGCCGAACGATGCGCTAGAGCTCAAAACGACCGATCAGATCGTTGCACTTATACACATGTTTGAATTAATCGAGCTACAAAGAAAATATCAAATATACGAGTGAAAAATAAAAAAAATCAAATTATATTAATTTATCGTAATGAAATAATATAGTAAGAATGTATACAAATTAAATAAAGACTCGTGTATATTTCTTTGTTTTGTAGATCCTTTTCAACCGGTAGTCTTCAAAAAGACTCGACCCCTCCCCCCCCACCTTCGCCCACCTAAGGCCCTAACTCCGGAGTCTTTCTATATGTATCTCCCTTTGTATACCCATCAGCTGCCATTCCCCGCCACGTTTTAGCGCTGAAACAAAAAGGATTCTTCTAGGGTTTTCTTTCCGACCTCTCTGATCAAGCAAAATCATGGGTGGAGGCAACGGTCAGAAAGCCAAGATGGCTCGCGAGAAGAATCTCGAGAAGTCAAAAGCTTCCAAAGGTATTCTCTCTCTTGAATCTACTCGAATCCTAATCTATTTCTCTGTAAATACAGATCTTAATTCTTATTGAACTATTGGTAAAATAAGTCCTATTTTAGCTTTAGTTTAGTCCGATCTGACTGCAGCAGTTGTGCCTTTAGAGTTGTTTTAGACACAAAAAAGTTTACATAAATGGTTTAGCTCGCTTTTATGTTAACTACCTAAATTGTCGCAGGAAGTCAGCTCGACACGAACAAAAAAGCCATGAGTATCCAGGTACTGCTTTTAATTTCATTTTTTATACTTAATTGTTAACGTAACAAAAGTGTAATTGGAACGTTTAAGGGACTCTATGAGGAATTTAACTGGATACAAAATTTAATGTGAGTTCCACGTGTACTTATTTTATTGGTCTTAGTGGTGGTGGAAGTATTATTCTGAATTTTAATAGAGGCATTATTTTGGCTAATGAAATTTGAATCGTTATTCGTGTAATACACGGAAGAAAATTCTTAGTAGTGAAATTATCATAAAAATAACATTGTAACTATTCTCGTTGTGCTTGAATTTTTGATAACCATGGTGTCCATGCTAGCTTGTGCGCACCTCGACTAATTCTACGGAATACCTGCTACCTCCCACCAGTAACAGTTTACTGGTATCTGGTAACTTTGTCCACCAAGGCTTGGACAAATGAGAAGAAATCACCTAGTATTTTTGCTTCCGTTAGGATTCGAACCTGAGATCTCATGGTTCTCAACCCACTTCAATGACCACTAGGCCTCTACTTATTTGCTAAGTTGCTCCGACATGGCAGTTTAAGTGCCGCACCCGTGTCGACACGACACTAGTATGGGTGTGGGTATGGGATCCGTACCGGATATGGTCAAACAATTTTGGGTACTTTGACCATGATGGACGAAAAAATTCGAGACGCGATACAATTTGATTCCCGAAATCAGAACCAAAACTAGGGTAAATTTGAAGAAAATAGCATACCTTATCTAGGAAATTAATCCTTTATTTATCTACAACTTGAGAACAAAAAATAAATCCACATTTTACAAGCTATACGTTAGTATTTCACAAAATTTCTCATAATTTAGAGGTATTTTTATACTTCTATTTTTTTGAATTTTTTTTAGCAGGATCCCCGCACCCGTATCCGTACTAGGATCCGTATATCTGAATCTTAAAATTTATATCTCGAAGGATCCGACCTCTAGATCCGCACCCGTGTCGGACACCCGCACCCGTGTCCAAGCAACTTAGTTTATTTGTAGTGGCATACAAAATTCTACACTGATACCTTGTTCCTTTGATTGATTATTGTGATCAGGGACAGATGAGAATTAATAACTCTGATTGTTTCTTTTTCTCCTAGGAAGAATAACCATTTCTAATTTTCAGCTCTTGAATTGATTTCCTGCAAAGATAAAGAAGCTATTTTTTGCTCGGATTTAGGTATAGAAGAATCGTCAATTGGTTTAAGAGCATTATAGTTGCAGGAAGGCTGAATATGTCCTAATATGCAACATCCTTGCACAAAATGTTGTCTCCTTCGTATAAAATTTGCTGCTTTTGATTGTCAACAAAGAGATGAGTCGACTGGGGTATCAATTGATACTTCTACGCATATATGAGCATACCATCTTTTGAGAATGGAAGAAGTACATGTATCGACTTTAACAACCTACCCACTTTGTTTCTAATTATTTTAAGAATTTCTATAATAGAACTCAGTTGGTAGTTGTAGTAGTCGTATCCAAACTGGTGAGAGAGCAAATTTTGCTTGAGTAGCTACAACATTAGGTTCCCATCTTAATTGAAAGAAAGAAATCATTAATGAACTAAGGGCCATTAGGCAAAACCCTTGAGTATATTTTCTTCTTTCAAGAACTTTACAATGTAAAAATCACATCCAAGTTCTATGTGTTGGAAATTTTCACTAGGCTTCCATTTGTCTCTGATTTTTGGTCGGAGATATTGGCGACTCAGTTGTTTACCAAAATGTTTCTCAGTGACAGAATTTCAAAGGCTGATAGATGCGGGCTATTTCTTCTGGAGAGAAGAATATGACATCATATCATCTTTTGGAAGTAGTGAATTATTCTCTCCCAGATTAATAATGGGATCAGTAGATTTTGCTTCAGCCTTATCAGAAGAATTTTGAGCTTGCTTTGGGTACTGTAGCCACTGGAGTTTCTTGGAATGAGGGTTTCTTAGGTTTGTTCAAAAGTGATTTTGCTATACTTGGAGGGTTAGGTGGTATAGCAGTTGTCATCTCTGTGTCTAGAGATTCAGAAGATGTCATGCAAAATAAGGAGGTGAGGTATCAACAAGAACTAGGATGTAGAAGCTTAGAAAGTTTTAAAGAAAAGGATGAGTTTCTTTCACTAGCAAAGGCTTGAAAGCTCTATGTTTTTTGCTGTAGTATATAAAGAGTCAAGTGATATTGGTTTTATACCTAATAATGATTCAAGTTATGTTACTGCATTTATTTTAGTTTGTATTTGAAACTTCACACTATTTAAAAGCTTTCAATCAGTGTACGGTTTATCAAATTGAACTAGCCTTTGCCTAAAATTCCTTTAGAGGGGCAATTTGAACTGATTCAAAGTCAATCTACACTTTACGTGATATAGGCCTAAGTTTTGGCTAGGTTGGCTTTGCTATCGTTGTTGCCAATGTTTAGGGTTTTAAAGGTTGGAATTTTTATTTTATGCGTTGCACAACAACATAACTTATGTGAGGGTCTCCCATTACTTGACAAGTGGACTCATGGGTCCCAATTGTTGTTTACTTTAAAACATAGAACCAAAAAAGAAAATTTTCAAGTCCATATTAAGATACTTAACTAAAAGAGTAAGAAGAGACTGAAAATATGGTAAAGAAATATGGCAACTAATGAAAAATTCCTGTCTAAAAGCACATATGTACATGAATTTCAATATTATCTTATCAAGGTGACCAATGTGGGTAAGTCCTTGGCGATGGCTGCTGTCAGGAGATGCTTAATCACCAGCCCATCTATATGCATACCGAAATTACACAATGCCACGAGCTCATATAAGAGCCGGACCAAAGGTTATAGAAAGCAAAGGTTTAGACATGAATTTTTTTATTAGCTGATATATTTTGTTATATTTTCACTCTCTTCTTCTCTTTGCCTTTAGTTAAGCATCTTAATTAGAGAAATTTCGATTTCAAAAATCCCTTTTTTCGGTTTTATGTTTCAAAGCAAGTGGGACCCATGAGTCCACAAGTCCAATAATGAGAAGATGGCCAATACATACACAGGCACCTATACTTGTCCGTCCGTATATTCCATTTAAACACTTAAACCAAGCCTACGACCTGTTGGACACTTGATGTATGCTCAAACTGTGTCTGCTGAACACATTTTACATAATCCTAAGCAACTCAAGGAGCGTGAATGCCACTCATTGTGATGTGGCAAACAACACCGATGATAAAAAGACATGTCAGCTTAGAAAAAGAAAGTCAATCTGAAAAAAAGAAAAACTTAAAAGGAAAAAGAAAAAAGAGTTGACCGAAAAGTATCCGGCAGAGTTTCACCTTTCTGGCGAAGTCCGTTCAGTCGCAGATCTTGGGTTTGGCGAACAATAACATACAATTTCAGCGCCAAGCAAAATCCTAACCGGAGCGGCAAAGAAGCAGCAAACAGTTGCAACGGATCTGGAATGGAGGAGAGCAAAAGGGTCGCCGGGGGAGAGAAATTGGGGTCGTCAGAATAACAATTAAATAGTGGAAAATTGATCTGTTACTTTTAGGATTTTAGGGAGGGACTTTGGGGGGTAAAAAGAAAGAGGAACAATATAAGAGGAAGGGGAGGCGTTAGTGATGGCCGACAAAAATGGGGGATTGCCGGTGATGATATTTCCGGCAGAGGATAGGATTTAAGATCTAGTTCCTGGGAAGAAATTGAATCTTTATGGGTTGAGGGAAGAGAAACACAGAAAGAAGAAGGAATAAAAGAAGACTAGAGGTTGCCTGAGAAAGAAGAAGCTTTGAAAAAGTGGCCGGATTTCCGAGCGAAGCTCCATTTTCCCGTCTCACACGCGTTCAAGTTCACGTGAGCAACACGTTACCTACCATGTCAGCAAAGAGTGTCCAATAGAAACAGTTTGAACATAGATCAGATGTTCAATAGGTCATAGGCGTAGTTTAGGTGTCTAAATGGAATATCTAGACAAGTTCAGGTGGCCGTGTATGTATTTGGCCGGAGAAGATTCTCACATAAGTTATGTTGGTTACGTGACACATAAAGTAAAACTTCTTTGAAAGGGGATTCAGAGTCTCAAATGCCACTATAATGTGAGTTGACTTAGAGATAGAGTGGATTAGGAGTTTCTAAATCCGATTCCTATAATTTGACCAACAGACCTGTTTGTTACGATTGTTATGGCTTACAAGTAACGAAGATTTTATTGGCTATCATTTCTACATTGGATTTGAGGCCCGCAATTCAGTTACAGTCTAAATGATCCTTTTACGTATGCTACGACTGTTGGCTAACTTTCATTTTTTGGATGATGGCAGTGCAAGGTGTGTATGCAGACATTTATGTGCACGACATCAGAGGTGAAGTGCAAGGAACATGCTGAAGCTAAACATCCAAAATCTGATCTCTATGCCTGTTTTCCTCATCTCAAAAAGTGAACCGTTTAATTAGGTGCCAAACATCCTTGCAGAAAAAAAGTTGGTATTATCTGCCAGTCACTAGCTGCAACTATCAAGTTGTGAACTGCTTGTATTGTATGTGTGTGCTCGTTTGTGAGACTCTCAAGTTGTGTTAGTGGTTTGTTTTAATTATGAAGCCTCCTGCCGTTGAGTCAATTTATTATGTGAAGTGGAACACGCAAATGCTGAAACTAAAACCGTCTTGTGAAGGAATACCAGAAACCAGCTGTTATCTTAGAATAGCTAAACTTCAGCTTTTAAACTAATAAATAGCCACCAAAAATGACCAAACAACGTTTTGATTGATGCACAAAAACGACCGCCCTGCAAAGGGCTATGACTTGATAGAGCAACAAAAATCAAGATACTGTCGTAGGAAGGTGAGAATTCTACAGCACCAGGAGAAAACATGTATGTTTTCGGAAAGTTGTTAGTAGCAATGGATTCTGTATCTCACATTGTCTCGTGAGAGTAATATTGTGATAACATACCATGTTTGCAAAGGAAAAAAAATACATTAAGTTGAGCTTCTTTGGAACGAAGCATACATAAGTACATTTCAAATCACAGAACCAACCATAAAGTTGAATGCTTAAGCTTGGCTTCGTTTACATAGACTTTGATAGTCAGATCGAGAGTAATGACTGACTGCTTAGTTAGCTTCTCAATAAAATTCCAAAAATCTGTAAGAGCAACATTGAACACAATGGAGATGCTTAGATACCAAATGTTGATGGCTAACCAAAACATTTCATTTATCAGCGGAGCTTGGAAAGTTATAGTGGTGCATTGAAGCAGCCAATACAAAGAGAGAAGAGTTAAGCTAGCTAAATGCTAAAAGGTATGCTTAACAGTAGAGAGGGAACCACCAGAAAGAGCTTAGAGTAATTTCGGATAAGTGAGTTCCTTGTTCAGCTTGAATTGATAGTTGAATAGAATTTTTGTATCCTTTTATAGTGGATTGATGTGTCTAATCGCGCTGTTAAAACGATGGAAGCGGCTGAGAGTTGGGCGCCACGTCCCTGGATTAAATCATATTTTGGTCACTATAATACTGGTGCCTTTAGGCTTCAGTGCCCTTCATCTTTATGATCTGATCTTCTTCATCTTTTATTACTGCAATCTTATCATGGAATAGTTGATACTGGTTTTGGAAAAAGAAAGGCTTTCAGTGCGCGGCAATCTTTCTACAAATTTGTCATGTGTGTTTTCTTACCTATATGGAGCCCTAGTCTAGTTGATATGTCCACTTCGAATTTTTTTCACGGTTTTCTTAGTTTAGGGGTCCCATTTACATGTTTTTTTGGGTATAATTATCTGATATCCAGAACTCAGATTCTTGCCGCTCGTGGACCATATAAAAGGGGAAGCGCTCCCTGCCAGAATATTTTTCATTCCAAGAGCTCAAACCAAGACCTTTGATCAGTGGTAGAGAAATCCTTTAACATGTTCGGGACTTAAAACAGCCCAATTAGCAACCTACATACTTTTTTAATATATATAAGCTGTTGAATCCCCTAAAAAAAATATTCTTGTGTAGTGTAAGAGATGTTCAAAAATTCAAATCTCAATTGTAACATTCTAGTGTTCTTTTTTATTCCCTTGTATAAGTACTTGCCTCCATCACTGGCCCAACCTAAAAAGTTATCCTGCTGGAATATGCATCTTTTTCTGCAGCACTATTAAGCATTTCGAAGCACTTATATTTGCTTTCTTTGGAATTTCATCGCTTGATTTTCTGTATGTCATATACTGTTTGCTAGGTTTGCAACATGAGGTGAACCCTGTTGTTTTTGACTCATGACTTCATATTTTGAATTTGCCTTCGACTGTTTTGGTACAGGATTCAGTAGATTCTATTGACACCCGCTGAATCGGAGGATAGTAAAGGCAATCAATGTGTCTATCAGAGCTTGGATACAAGATTTAAACTCTACGGGGTCGTTTGGTACATGAGATAAGAATAATAATTTCGGGATAAAAATTGAATTAACTTTATCTCATGTTTGATTTGAGGTATTAGCTAATCTCGGGATAACTTTTACACTAAATTGGTGTGATTAGCTATTACAGATAGAATGTGAGCTAACTAATCCCATAAGATATCCCACCATTTTATCAAATGACGTTTAACTTCTAAATTTAAGTTAATGTAGCATGGTCTCTTATTTTCCAATCCTATGATTGACCTCTTGTCCGATTAATAAATTATATATGCTAAGATCAATCAGTGTCACAAAACTAGGGTCACCTTACTCTTAACATTATTTATGATTGCATGCCTTTGACAGCTAATTCAGAGACCCCTTGATCGAGCATAACTACAGGGAGTAAAACAAAATAGCAGATCGAATGGCAAAATATGATAGCAAGATTTAGAAGATCACTAAAATTTTACTCCTAGGCACTATTTCCCTTGTTAGGTATAGTGTGGGGTTTGGTGCCAACGACTTGTGGTAGCCTCGGTCACATCTATCTCAATTAAAGCACTAAATTATATAAAACACTAAGAACTATTCCCCTAGCTAGGTATTATTTGGGACGTTTAATTATGTCAATGACTTGTCATATCTTTGGTCACATGCACCTCAAGTCACAATACCTGTGTCGAGATATAAGAATACTTTATTTTTTTAATGACACACAATGTTTGTTATCATAATATTAATTTTAAAGAAATTCCACAAATTTTAAGATTTAATTTCACTAAACTATTTAAATTTTAATATGATGTTTCTCTCTAGAACCATTTTTCAACCACTATTTGACAAAATTTTATCACTAATGTAGTATATGAATCTAATTAACCAGTAGACTTTGTATTCAATCAAATACCATCATATATATATATATATATATATNCAATTGTCTCGATCGATTAGGTTTTGTAGTGGAGTGAAAGCCAACGCTAAGCAAGATTTAAGGACGTTTAAGTGTAGTTTCAATCTGAATATAAAGGTCAGGTTCCATTATAGTGTTGAAAGCGAGGCCTCCTCCTCCTTTCGTCTTGGTCTCTAGCTTCTCAAATGAGCGACTTGGTGAGCCAAACTATCTTCTAACATTGGTAATATGCCTATCTAATATTAATTGGGCACGTTGCTCTTTATGGCCGTCCGGTTTAGTTGATATTAATTGACTCACATGAAATACTAGGTTAGTTTAGTATGTTTATTGCCATATGACGTGAAATACTAGGTTAGTTTATATATATGGTATATGTTTATTTCCATTGTGTTATATCAAGTTCATCTCATTACAGCATTAGATAGTATGTTTCTAAAGGCAAATCATGAGGGCCTCTCTTAATATCAAACTTATCCATGTACGTACGAAATAACTAGTTCAATACCAACAGGTCGGTGTATGTGCATATAATGCAAAATTGTTTTCCAGAAAGCGCATATCCACTCAAAAAGGAGTGTCATGTCACTATCTTTGAGTCTTGGCCACATCCATCTGAAGATACAGTACTAATTAATGTGCTTCCTTCGTACCCCTCTTCTCACATTGACAAATCCCACTTCTTGCTTCGGACTCCTGTCTTATTCGCGCAGGCCCGCGACATCAGACGTGGCGTGCAGGGCTGTGGGGTATTATTCCTCATTCATTGCTCCAGCCACTACATTGTTCAGGTTTTATATCATGTAGTGGCTAACTCATGTAGTTTATTAAATTATGTATAATGATAGTATGTAATATTATTATATCATTAGGTGTAGTAACATGTAAACACGATCTGATAATTTGAAATATAGAGTAACAATCTCTATAACAAGCTAAATATACTAATAGTACAGTTCGGTACACTAAGCTTCCGTTATGCGCAGGGTCCGGAAAAGGGCCGGATCATAAGGGTCTATTATACGCAGCTTTATCCTATATTTCTGCATGATGTTGTTTTCACGGCTTGAACTCGTGACCTCCTAATCACATGGGAACAACTTTACCAATTACGCCAAGGCTCTCCTTTAAGCTAAATACACTAATATTGTAAAAAGTTTATACCGTGAGTGTATATAAGTTAGACCTTTTTTTATTTAGGTACTGTCGTACTGAATGTTACAATTACAATGAAAGTCACTCATTGACAGTGTGGACGAAAATGATCCCCGGATAGAAACTTCCTTTCTTTTGTCACCATTGATATTAGGCTTAATGTATGCATATTTTGATGTATATTGCCTCGCATTATGCTCATGTCTCGTAGATTTCAGATGTATAATATGATAATTTGCGCTAATTTGTGGTACTTATATGTGTAGGAATCATTCGGATGCGATTTGGGACGAAAGTGCGCGAATTGGAGCAAAAATGGGAAGAAAAGGCAAAAGTGCACATTTGAGAGCCACATGCAGCGTGGGGCGCTGCCTGTGGCACACAAAACAGAAAGTTGGAAAGTTGAGCGCCAGGGCCAGCGCCCCTCGCTGCCCTGGACGCTCAAAACGGGAACATGTCCTATTTCGACTAGGACTCGGTTATTTCGACCCCAAGATGCCCCCAACTCATATAAAAGTCAACCTAAACCTATTTTGAGGGGGAGGACGGGACTTGGAGAGAAGAACAAAAGTACGAAACACTCGGGAACACAGATTTGATCAATTCTTCAATTCTTCTTCTAGTATTCATTGATTTTATGTTTGGGAACATTATTTTTGATGATTGTATGAACATGAGTAGCTAAGAACCCTATTATTCTGGGGTCATGGGTGCTACATGAATGTTGACGTTTGAAGTTTAAATTGACGAGTTTGATTTTATCATATTGGGTTATTTATTTAATTTTGTCCTTAACTATTTTGCAGAGTAGCTAACAATAAAATACTATTTACGAATCTAGAGTTAAACTCGAAAGTGAGAATTCTAGATTGTATATAGAATTAAATAAAGCAAGTTCTTGAACTCGGGTATCGGGGAATGGATTGGCAATTAGGATAGAAATATATCTAATTAGCTTGCTTGGTTGAAATAAAGGAAGTGTAAATGCATTCTTGTTAATCTTAATTCCATAGACATATAGGAAGTGAGTTAACTTGAATAGGCGAGTAAGAACTCGACAGATTCTTATGAGTAATATCAACCCCGTCAATCAACAATCTAGATAAATCAATTAGTCATTTTAAGCCAAGAATGCAATGTGATTGTTAGCTAGCCTATGACCCT